AAAAAAAAAAAAAAAAATTATCCTCCCCAATTTGCCTTTTGGTCATAGGATTTCATCACAACAATAGAAAACGTAGGACAGCCTGATTGTTTCCTCTGTGTTCATCTGGAAGAACTCATAGATCAGGTGCTCAGTGTGGCCCTTCTGCTATATCCTCCCAGGAGCATCAACCTGCATCTTCCATTGATATGAGTCACTGCTTCCCAGGCATGACACGACCATTTGCCTGCTGAAGTCTCTGTAGATCTGATTACACACAGCAGTATACTTTCACAGTATAGAGTTTCCTGAGGCTACTCCTCTCCTCTCAGAACTAGAGGCAGTTAAAAGTTTCAGACCAAGCTTTTTTCAGAGATATAACCACTGGAAATTTTCAAGTATTGCTTAGCATAGAGGAGCACATTGGGATTAACAGTTTGGAGTTGAAACTGATTGATGGATGTTGTCTGGTCTACACACTGAGTTTTGGGGCAGTCAGAAACACATTGTAAGGTCCTTTCTCAACACACACACAGAGAAACAAAACACAAAACAAAAACATTTGAAAATATGCTTCTAAGGAACCCTAATATACCTCCTGGTTTCACCAGTTAGAGTTGTGTGGTCTTGCCTATTTCTGTCACTGTTGGGATGAGTAGGCATTGTTCATGTTTCCCCAGGAAAAATTCACACAACATTCAAAAAGGATCTCTAGTGCTGGATAGGAAACCATCCATGAGTTTGGTCTGGCTGATGGCAATGGTCATGGAGATGGTCATGATGGTCAAGGAGAACCAAGAAGAACCTCTGAGAGAAAGAGACCAACCAGCTCTGAGCACCCTCAGGTGATGTGGATGCAACAGAATGTCACCAGGTTCATTTTATGTTGTGTCTTGGTCCGAGGTCACTGGGAGCATTCAGGCAGAAGTGGATGTTTACGTGGACATGTTCTGCAAGAAGAGAACACAATCAGATTTGGGTTTGTAATCTCAGTCTACATGAGGCTGAGGGAGAAGGGGAAGAAGACTGAAAACTGCATGAGATTCAAGAGATTCTGTCTCAGAAACCAACACAAAAACTAAAGGACCAGAAAGAGGCAGAAGCCACATATTCTGTAGCCCAACCCACCACAGCACTGGAAAAAGAAGCATCACATGTCTGGGAAGAGCAGTTCCTCTTCCTCAAGGGCTGCTCCTATTACATCTTCATGACACCAAGGAGAAGAGAGCCTTCATAGCCCGTACACTTTGTTTCTTTCCATTTGACAAAGGGACCAACTATCTGCAAACTTGTGGTAATTGGAAGATACCATGAAAACTTTTCTCACATCCCTGCTGTGTGTTGGTGAGATGCCAAGATGGGGAGGGAGAATTCTTGTCTGAGAGGGAACCCACCCTTGGAACACCCTTGGAACACAGCCTTGCCTTGTGCCATCAAGAAGTCTCAGAAGCTTAGATGCCTGGAAGTAGAGGGCTTTCTGATATTTCAGTGCAAACACAGGTATCTCTTTTGCAGCACTGAGTCATCAGGGCCTCTGGATCCTGGCATTGGCAGGTGAGTGTCTTCACAGCTGATCCAGATTGAACATCATTTGTGGGGACCACAGTTAACTCCTGAACAGAGCAGATGGAGAACAACAGGTGTGGGCTGATCCTGGGGATGCCTGAGAAAGTCCTTGGTCTGAGAGCTCATATCTGAGAGGGAGTTCTGGGGAACTAACTGTCATTTTTCTTGCAGGGATCCTTTCTAAACCTACACTCAGAGCAGTTCCAAGCAATGTGATAACCACTGGAAACCAAGTGAGATTCTTCTGTCAAGGGCCCTTAGAGGCCAAGGAATATCGTCTCTGCAAAGAAGGAAGTCCAGATTGCTTGATACCAACAACCCTAATAGAAACCAAGAACTTGGCCAAATTCTCTTTCACATCAATTGAATGGAATAATGCAGGCCAATATAGGTGTGAATATAAAAGCCCCAATGGCAAAAGAGAACACAGTGACTACCTGGAGCTGGTGGTGACAGGTGAGAGGACCCCTCTACAACCCCAGCATCTGCCTTGAGGAAAGGAGTATGTTCACAGTAGGGTCCCCTTTTAAATATGTGAAGAGGGGAAAATGATTCTCATATAGGTCATATGGGGATATGAAGATACGGCAAACATTACTGAGATTAATAAATAGAGGCCTTTGTGTGTGGTCAGATAGTTGTCAGGAAGTGGATCTGGGAACTGTTGTTGTGATGAGTTCATCTGAATGTCTGTTTAAACACACTACACATTCATGTATGTTTCTTGCCCTCTTCTCTCTTAGGAGTTCACAACAGCAATGTGACCCTGTCAGCCATTCCCAGCCCAGTGGTGACTGCAGGAGGAAATGTGACCCTTCAATGTGTGTCACAACATCCATATGACAGGTTCATTCTGATGAAGGAAGATGAGAAGTTCTCCCCGGCTTTGCCCTCACAGAATATACACCCTGAGCTCTATGGAGCCCTGTTCACAGTGGGTCCTGTGACCCCCAACCAGAGGTGGAGGTTCACATGCTATGGGTATTACGAGAGCAGCTCCCAGATGTGGTCGGTGCCCAGTCCCAACTTAGACCTTCTGGTCTCAGGTAAGGAAGTACAGGACTTTCCTTTGACTGTAATTACAAGTGACCCAGGATCCCAGGAAAGGACCTGATGCGAATTGATTGATTGAGAGGCCAGGCTATGGAAAGAGAGATTTAACCTGACTACCGGCTGGACAGGACACAGGGAAACTTCAGCTACAGTGGTCTTTATGTGTCCTTCTAGTTTTGCAGATCAGCCTATGTGTCCCTGCAATGGTGACCTTCTCTGTGCAATTCTCCTAATAGATGCACCTCCTTTCTTTCTTCTTCTTTTCTGGGATCCTTCATATTCCCAGCTGAGCCTGGCTCTGTGATGACACCAGAGAGTCCTATAACCATTTGTTGTGAAGGGACCTGAAGAACCCAAACATATTTGCTACACAAAAAGAGTAGACTAGAATCCCAGGGCAGACCGACCCAAAAGAATCACAACAATTAGACAAAATTCACCGTCCCTTCTGTGATAACACTGCAGGCTGATATCACTGTTACTCTCACAACTTTGCTCGCTCGTCAGAATGCAGGACACCATGGAGCTGGTGGATAAAAGTGTTTGAATACTCTGGAGTCATGTGGATCCCCAGATGTGACTGTTAAGATAAATGTGTGCTCTGAATATATCCCCATGTGTTAGTCAGGTCTGGGGGACAATCCAGACTGTGTGAACCCATTAAATAATCGATATGTATCTCTCCTAGGTGTCTAAAATAAACCACCCTGTTTACACTGCCAAACACTGTTGTAATATTAGAAGGCTCTGTGATCCTTTCATGTATCTCAAATCAGAGATACAACTGGTTCATTTTAATTAAGGATAAGCCTTTCTCCAGCTCCATGTCCTTACAATATGCATATACCAGGCTGTCTCTAGCCAGGTTCCAGGTGGGTCCCATCATACTCTGTAAAAGATGGAGGATTGCTATCCTCAAGTGTTGTTAGAAGGTAATGACATACTGTAGCATCTAGTCTCAGGGGAAGCCCCAGCCTCTCTGTTGAATGACACTGAACCTGAAACAGGTTTCCCCAGGACACCCGAATGTAAGGTGAGTACAGGTACAGATAGGTGGATTAGCCCACAGATATAGATGCAGACTGTGGGAATCAAGATACAGAAACCAATGAGAGGTGTTTTGATAATAGAACATGGGAGGGTCAGCAAAGATATGGATTTTCAGATGGTTCCATGTGTCGTTCTGTTATTTAAGGGTCAAGTCTGAGTTTCAATTCACTGTACAACTGTTAAAATCTCACATCCCTCTCACTTAACTCTTTTCAGGGACCCTCCAGAAACCCACCATCTCGGCTGAGCCGGGCTCTGTGATCACCTCAGGGAATCCTGTGACAATCTGGTGTGAGGGAATTAAGGAAACCCAAATGTATATCCTGTATAAAGAAGGAAGCCCACCATCCTGGAACAGATTAACTGCACCAGTGCCTGATCACAAGGCCAAGTTTTTCATCCCATCCATGAGAGAACACAATGCAGGACGATATTACTGTTACTGTTATACCTCTGCTGGGTGGACACAGCACAGTGACTCCCTGGAGCTGGTGGTGACAGGTGAGTGGACACAAAGGGTCACAGTATTCACTTTTTTCTGTGTGGGCCCCTGAAAGTTCTGCTGTTTGCAGAGAAATGACCCACATGCAGTAATAAGAATAATTCAGTTCAGGCTGACATAGAATTTGCCAGTTCACATGCTCTTAAATGTCTGAAACCAGGTCACTTATTGCAAACATATTTAAACACAGAACAATTTAGCAAATTAGATTACTGGTGTAATTGCAATCCTTTGAACAACTAGGCATGATTGTATCAACACTCAACTCAAATTACATTTGAACATGAAGATTGATTTTGTATCTTAAGGGCCTTTGTTCTGGTGTTGTCTCTGACTGAGGTAATGCCAATGTCAGCAGGATAAAAATTATTTTTGACATATCCACAAAGGATGAGGTTCATTAATGCCAATGTTAAACATCTAGGGAGGGAAAGTCTGTAATAAACATCCTCAGGGATTCAGGTGAGGTTTGGATCTATAGATAGAAAGGTCACCTGGGTATTAACAAGATCCATTCCTAGCTTTCTTAATAGAAAACAGTTATTTATCTCCTCCATTGAGCAGACACACTACATGAGTAACATTTCTGATTTCTCCCATATTATTTATGAGCATGAGTACATTTTGCCCTCTACATTTTCCCTCAGGAAATACATCTGTAAACATTTTCAGCCATAGCCCAGCTGCTGCAGACAATGTATCATTTAACAGGCTCTGTCCTCTTTTTCTAGGTGTCCACCATGGCAAACCTACTCTGTCAGCTTTTCCCTGCCCTGTGTTGACCTCAGTTGGGAATGTAACCCTTCAGTGTGTCTCATCCAAAGGATACAATGTGTTCATTTTGACTGGGGAAGATCTGAAGTTCTCCAGGTCCCAAAAGTCACAGCTCATATACACTGGACAGTCCTTAGCTCTGTTTCCTGAGATCTCCATGACATCCAGCAAGAGTGGTCCCTTCAGATGTTATGGATACTATACAAATACATCACATGTGTGGTCAGAGGCCAGTGACCCTTTGGAGCTACATTTCTCAGGTGAGGACGTCTCCTCATTCGCTCAACCGACACCAGAAATCCTTTGTCATAAGTCCTTCTACCTCAAGGAGGGTTCAAAACCATAATTGTTGAAGGGAGCTCTTGATTACTAAGGCCCAGAGTATTAGAAGCCTTGGGACTTTCAGAGCAGGAGGGGATATGGAATGTATTTCAAGAGCCAGATGGATGAGTTCCTTAATGTTTCTTAATCTTAGGTATAATATTTGTTTTTTAAAATTATCCATTTTGGACAGGCAGTGGTGGCATGTGCCTTTAATCCCAGGCTGTGGGAGGCAGAGTCAGATGGATCTGTGAGTTCAAGGCCAGCCTGGTCTACAAAGTGAATTCCAGGACAACAAGAGCTGCCCAGAGAAACCCTGTCTTGAAAAACAAAAATAGTGTGTGTTTGGACTGGGAACACCTACTGCACTTATTTCCATTTTGACCAGTTTTGGAGACCTTTGTGACATACAGCAAAAATGAGCCCTTCAGATATTAAAGATAATATATAAATAA